CTCTCTCTCTCTCTCTCTCTCTCTCTCTCTCTCTCTCTCTCTCTCTCTCTCTCTCTCTCTCTCTGCCTTCAGTATGCTTGCATAGTTATCGTCACGTCGAAAGAAAATTTTTTCAGCCAATGTGTTTGCCAATGTGGTTGTGAATAGGATAAAATCCTCGTATAACTCCAAGTTCGTCATCGTCGTCGTCGTCGTCAAAAACCTCTAGTGTGAACCTGTCCGTTCCTGTTTTCCACCCCCAAATACTGTACGACACGCTGAATAATTCTAACGGTTATTACACTCCGACAAACCTCACGTCTTCAAAACCTATATCCACTTGTAACCTGCATTTCCTCCATACAAAAAATGTCAAACGAGTCGAGAAATTTATCTAAATTCACCGACTATGAGGCGCCGAGAAACCTTTCACCCTAAGAAAAACGTGATTCTTCATATACAGCCAATAAAATCCCACAAAAAATTAGTTTTCTTCTCATCGTTCCATCCCGCGTGTCACAAAAAATCGCATTCCATTCTCAACAAGTATATTCCTTTTACAAATCCGCCATATTTCTTTTCGCAAACGCCATTTTGTTTTCGGACTCCGAACGGTTCCAGACACTTTCTTCCCTTCCCCTACTTTTTCGTCTAGCATTTCGACAACCAATCGCACACATGGGGCATTATGGGTAGAGCCAATCACGCGCCGGGCAGCTACGGAGCCAACCAATCAGAACGCTTCCACTAATTACTTAATTATTACCTCCCATCCTCACTGATCAATCAGAACGCTCCATTTCCACGTGGCTGCCAGTTTTTGACTGTCGGGGGTCACGCCCCTGGCGCCAGTAGGAAGGTGGTGGGAGTTTGTTTTGACGCGCTATAGTGCCCCACTTACTACTACTCTCCTTCCTGTCCCTCCTCCGTGACTGTTTCCTTTCCTTTCTGTTCCGCCTGACGCTCCGCCATGTTTTTCATATCGGACGAGCCCCCAAAAATGTTGCACTCGCGGCGGGTTCGCTCGCGTCACTCTCGCGCAAGGAAAGGAGAGATGGTTAAAAAGGAAACTAAAAGCTAAAAAGGAAACACTTTATTAAATACTAAGCACAGGAGCGATAACAAGAGCTTTACGCAGTTAAATAATAATTCGCCGCGATACAGCTCAAACTCGTGCGCCGCGCCGACGACTCTCTCGCCAAAACAAACACTTGACAATCGCTTGACGACCGCTTAACGACCGCGTCGGCAAGGGATGATCTTCAAGTTGGAAATGTAGCGTCGTAGTATGAGGGTAGCGTCGAGTGGAACATTCGCAACCACTCGGTCGTAACAATATAATTTACAAGCAAACCTTTAGAACATCTATGAATTTCCCATTGTTTTCGATCGTAGCTGATTTAGTATTAAGAGATTTGGAAGAAAGCGTGCTCGAGATTGTTGAGGTCCGTTTACTGTTCTTTTATAGATACGTCGATGATATTGCAATGACCATTCCTTTCAAATTGATTGGTGAGATTCTTGGAAAGTTCAACTCGTATCACCCTAGATTACAATTTACTGCTGAGGTGGAGGGAAGCAAGTTGAATTTTTTCAATTTGACCTTAAAAATTGTTAATAAGAATGTTGAAATTAATTGATTTCATAAACCCAAACATTCTCAGAGAGGTACTTCAATTTTCACTCTCAGCATCCTCTCGCCAGAGGCACTATTGCTGGACTCATCGATAGACTGTTCTTACTATCTCACCCGAAATATCATCAAAAGAACTTGAATTTGGTGATCACGATTTTGTTAATGAATGATTATCCTCTCAACTTTATCTTTGATAATATTCAATCAAGATTAAAAATTCTATTCAAACGAGATAGATTAAGCATGCCAAATGCAATCACAAGGAACAAAATGGTTCACTTTATCTTTTATTCCGGGAATTGCGACTAAATTTAAAAAAGCCAAAGTTAAAAACTTAAAATTGCCATTGATTTCAACGCAAAACCCGCGTTCTTTAGTATGAATAAGTTGAGAGACATGATTCATAAACGCTCTGCCAGCACATTTCAAAAGAATGTAGTGTACAAAATCTGCTGCAACGCATTGCGATGCGTGCTATGTCGAACAAACTATGAGACAATTAAAAACAAGACTGCATGAACACCAAAATCATATACGGAAAAACACGATTACACATTCAGTCATTATCGAGCACGGATTAGATTAGATCATGAATTTGACTGGAACGATGTGAAGGTATTAGACTGTGAACGTAATTTGCAGAAGCGATTGATTTCAGAAATGCTTTTCATTAAAAGACAGAATACTAGCCTAAATTCACTGATACTGAATTCTTGTATCATACATACGTTTCCGTCTTGAGAAAACTGTAATCTCGGTTTTGTTTTGATTGCGAGTTGTCGACTTGACGAGTCGACTTGAAGAGTCATTGC